ACCGAATGCATTTACTTTGTAGACTTTCTAATAACATTCAGTCATTTTTATGAAAGGATTTAATTAACTATCAGGAAAGAAAAAGGTTTGCTATGATGAATCTCTCTCCTGCGGAACAACATATAAATATAACAAGGAAATCTCTCTCTCTCTCTCTCTCTCTATCTCTATATATATATATATATATATATATATATATATATATATATATATATATATATATATATATATATATATATATATATATATATATATATATATATATATGCACAAACATACACATACATATATATATATATATTATTGTATCACTTTCTTTTCTCAGTATCTATCAATCTATCTATCTATCTATGTATCGATAGATCTTGGTGTCTTTCTTTTTTAATCAATATCTATCTATCTATATCATTGTATTTCCTTTTTTTATTTTTCTGTCTATCTAACCTTATGTTTGTCTGGGTTAGGGCTTACAGTAGGTGACATACACATGCGACACACACGCACGCACGCACGCACACACACACACACATATATATATATATATATATATGTATATATATATATATATATATATATATATATATATATATATATACTCAATGTGCACTGAAATGTTCTCGAAAAGAAAGGATTCAGCCATTCTAAATTCTTAGGTTTGATCATTTTGTCAGATTTTGCGAAATCGGTCGGGCCGAGAACTTTTCAGTTCCACCACGTATATATATATATATATATATATATATATATATATATATAATAGAAAAGATTCACAAACGATGTGCTGGCTTGCATCTGTGTATACATCCGCCAGATGCTGTTTCTACTTGTTTATTCACTGCAGACATACAACGATGTCTCCCTTTTTATTTCTTGATTTTTTTTAAAGCAATCTTTTTCATTCTTTTTAATCCAAACAGTAAAAAAGGAAATAAAAGAAAACAAAAATAATGTCTGCTATTCCTTTCGAACACCAGACCTCACTTTTCAAGGCAGATTATAATTATTCAATCGCAAAATTCCCAACGTAAAGCAGATTCATCTAATAAGCTAGTGCTTTTGATCCTCACTATGTAGCCAGTTAGTTCTGTTGACTTACGGGATATGGCTGAGTATGGTCCAAGTAAAAATGAAGCGGGATAAAGGTTAGACGACTCTCTTACAGCAATGTTCCTATCATAGTAGGACACCTGATGCCTTGAAAATCAGCATTCAACGTCCCGTCATTTTGCACAGACTGAAACGATGATAGCGAGCCTGAACGTAAAATATACAAAAATCCTAACCATAGAGCAGGATTTTTCTAAAAATGGCAGCTCATATATTCTTGTATTAAATTGACTGGAATTCTTGCCATTTTTCGTTTTCTGTTTCCAAAATCATAAAACAATAGATCAGTAGTAAATTCTGTTTCTTTAATAATTTGGAAAACTATACTTCTCTAGAATTCATGAATTTTAGAAGTAAAAAAATATGGTGGGAATATTCTGAGTAAAGATCTGTTAGTAGGAATATGAATCTGTTATCCGTCAGCTCCAATCTGGTTAACATGATACCCATGGAAAGAATTTGGTTAAAGTGACATCGATAGAAGCCAGTCTGGTTAAAATAACATCTTTAAAAGACAATGTGGTTAAAAGGACATGCATCGAAGATAAAAGTGATATCAATAGAAGACAATCTAAAGTGACATTGTCACATCTGTAAAAGACAATGTAATTAACAGGACATGCATCAAATACAAATGTGGCATCTATTAAAATTAATCTGGCTAAGTGACATCTTTAAAAGACGGTCTGGTTAACAGGACATCCATGGGAGTCAATGTGGTTAAATTGATGTTGATAGAAGCCAGTTTGGATAAAGTGACATCTGTAGAATGTGGTTAACAAGATATGGAAGGCAATTTGGTTAAAGTGACTTCTATAGAAGATAATCTGGATAAAGTGACTTCTGTATTAGACAAAATGGGTAACAAGACATCGACAGAAGACAAAGTAGTTAAAGGGGCATCTATAGAAGACAATGGTTAACATGGTATCCAGAGAAAACAATCTGGTTAAGTAACATCTATATAAGAAAATATGTCTGAGAGGATATCCATGGTAGATAATCTAGCTAAAGTGACACATATTGAAGACAATATGGTTAAAAGGATATCCATGGAAGAATTGGTTAAATTGCCACCTATATCAAACAATATGGTAAAAGTCTCATCCATCGAAAATAATTTGGATAAGTGACGTCCATAAAAGACAATATTCAAGTATATGAAATACTAGTTGACATCTAAATTGAAGTCACTTTTTATTACAAATTTAAACTACTTCGTGGCTGTTTAAATAACAGTCACAGGGTATTTGACAAAGAAAGTGTTCATAAAAAACTAGGATAAGATGTGAAAAGTACTTGTCAAAAATTAGTTATGTAAATACCGTCGACTCAACGACATGCAAACTTTGAAGACTACGAACTTTTTTCGTCGACTTTTTAAAAACAAATAAAAGCAATTTATTAAGAATCATTTTAAAATATAACTTTTAAAACCGAATACAATTAATTTATTAAGGGTCATTTTTTTAAAACATAACTTTATTTTTTAGTTAAAAAATTATTGAAAATTGTATGCAATTCTCCTCAAATATTTAATTGGAGATCGTTGTAAAAAAGAATTAATCTGCAAAATTCTTTCATCTGCCTTCATATACCCCTTCAATTTAGGGGGAGAAGAATGACCTCCCATTAATTGTTCAAAAAATGAATCTCGGTGTCTTTGTATCTTTTGCAGCCTCGTAATGAATCTCCATATTATAGGGTGTCCATCCCCCCCACCACCACTTTTTGTGCAGTATTCTATTTGCCGCTTCAGCATGGTTATTTGTTCAATTTATGACAAGCCAACAGCGGTTGGCCGGTGTTGAATCCCCGGTGACGCAATGTCCCCCTCCTGTTCATTTAAGTATTCAAATATCTCTTAATACAACGGCTACCACCAGAAAGTAAACAGATAAGCTTGTCACTTCAACAACAAGTGGTTTTTGAACTCTTCTTGTTTAGCTGTTCATTAGTTTTTATTGCCGAATCTAACTTAGAATTTTCACGCATATAATTCATTTGTTGCTAAATGCATTTACTTTCTCCCTGAACTATAGCTCCATGTATACCTTCACAAATCAATCTATATCCCAGTTACCATCTTCACACCATCGGGAACTAGTCATACTTCCAGCATTCTATCTAAGATATTCTCAACCTCAAAACATCATATCATGTTTGCCTGACTGACATTGCAACATGTAAGAATGATTTCCGCAAGTGAGAATCTTTTTCATCCGTTCGATCCATCCAGGGTAGAAAGGTATTGAAATAGGGGCTTGAAAATAGGTTTTCATATAATCTGTTGCTTATTTCATTCGGTTTTGTTTATCAACAGACAAAATAATACGGCTGTAGGTTTTGGTCTTGTCTGGGAAATGGTTTCGTGACCGATTATTTAAGTTTCGGCCATTTGATTCTTGAACTGTTAAACGAAATTGTGGGAATTCTAAGAAGCCTTAAGACATTTGGTTCTCTACCGAGTTATGACACCATCTCATGAAGTGATAATCGCTAAACAATCAAGATAAGCTTTGTGAAATCATTTCCTGTTCGATGCCATTCCTTTGTTTCGAAGTCACGCAATCGTATTTACATATCCGAATAATAAATCGAATAAAATGTGCTAAAATGCAGTAATAAAACGAAGAAACGATGAGTCAAATTTTTATAACGTTTCGACCGAACCATTCTCCAACCTCCGTCAGGTGTATAACTCATAAAGAAAGTAAAAGAAAGATAAAGCAAATTTAAATACAGGATCAGACACATACGGGTTATGGTAAAACAAAAACAAAACAAAAAGCTATATCATCATATTACCGTAGGCATCAGGGTATGCTCCTGAGTAATTTATTTAAGATAGTGAGAAGGTTCTTACTGTGATAAAGACTATTAGGAACAAAGCACACCGTAAGACAAAAGTGAAGATATTTTTCACAGAGAACAAGCTGTTGATTAGAAAATAGTAGCTCTACCAATCAGTTTGGTCCATTCCAAGCAATGCGAGCCACATATTTCATTTACATTCATGCAATATGTTTAAATATTTGCTCATAAATTTTGCAGCTAAAGTGTAGCCTATCATTATGATCATTGCAGACTAGTATGTTCTTCCCCCCTTTGTTCTTTTTAGTTGCTTTTTATGATAAATTTATTCAAGCCGTTAATCAACAGCAATGAATAAACATCTCGGATCAATGTTTTCGAGTTCTCGCAGTGCAGTCGGCAGGAATAACCGGCGTAGTTAACTGAGGCAAAAGGTATTCGATATATAGTATTCTAGTTTCACAAAAAGCTTATTTCCGATCCGCATGGTTGATCCACTGCTTTAGGTTGACGGCCAGAAGTTGCGATAAGAAGCAATTAAAAAAGAATTATGATGAAAGAAAAGTCTAAAGAATTGATAATAATGGTTAATTATACTTATTTTTCAAGAGAAATAAATAGAGTATAACTTCTACTAATAACCGCCCACATTAGTGCCATTAGATTCCCTTGTGGTGAAAAGTGGCACAGCCTCACCACAGTAGGTGTCGCTGCAGCAAGTAGGTTTTACAGGATAGAGTTTCCCAACTGAAATTCTCCTCCAAACTTGTTGTCAACCAAGACTAGTTGTTTTTTTGTTTGTTTTTTGTTTAGAGGCACATCAACACCTCTGTGAGTTATTTGATGCCGAAATCTAAATATTTTGGACGGTATTTTATTTTTCTTTCTTTTGTCTGTGATAATAATTGTATTAATGATGCAGATCTTACTAATTAACCCATAGCCTGGGGAGAAGCGGTGCATTCATGCATTTCCCAAGGGTATTTGGGCGTAAGTGAATATACCAAGCCCAACTGGAATTGGAACTCAGCTCTCTGATTAACAATTACGAGCCCTCATCCATTGCATCACCCGCACATCTGATATTCGCCAAGCTGTCACCCATCTAGGTACTGACCAGGCTTGACGTTGCTTAACTTCGGTGATCGTGCGGAAACCGGTGTTTAAACGTGATGTGACCGTAAGACTCAACCAAGGCGAGAATAGATAGATATTCATAATTTTTCCAAAGACATTCGTACTAATGTAAATGCAACAAATTTTTTTTCGGCGCCGGTAACCGTTTTGCTACCGTCATATCCGCTATTGAATCGAGAAAGAAAAAACATGGTTCCGATTAATAAAGTATATCACTTGGATTTGAGGAGAATAAAGAATAGTTTAATTGGTTAGTTTTATTATTTTGCAAAGCCGTCAATCAGTTAGAACAGCTGCTATCTTTATTCATTTTTTTTCTTCACATAAACAAAGAAACGTTCAAGTTCGATTGAGGGTTATAAACCTTGACCACTGATTCATGCTGTTTAGTTACTGCCGTAGACCGATCATCTAAGTAAGATCAAATGAAAACATTCGAGTCAAAAATTAATAAAGGTTTTGAGGAAAATATGAAACAAATCACTTAGAAATGCTAAAATGTAACATCTAGAAACTAAGTAATTTATTGGGACATTGTTATGGTCCAGGTTAGGACCAAAGAAGAACAACACGAACACAAGAGTAGAAATAACGAAAGTATATTACACGAAATAATAATACAAGATGTGGAAGGTGTTAGTATGACTGTCAGTCTGGTTTGGAGTGAACTACTATCGGCTCGACTCGATTCGAGCCTCTCTCTTGAGAGGCGTAGTATACATAGTGTTAGGAAGACTTCATTCTGTAGTTATAGGTAAGGACCCATGACAGACATAGTATGCAATATCATTGAAGATAAAAAATGTGAAGTGTGATGTAATATCTTATCTCCAATATGGCAGTGAATGTTGGACAGTTTCCGCGCAGATGAAGAAAAGATTTTTTTCTACCGAGAATACTGAAAATAACAGGAACATGGCAACTCCAAGGAATGTGATACTTACATTCAGAAAGAGAAAGTTGAAATTTCTACGACACATAATAAGGAAAGAGGATCTAGAGAACTTAACGCTCACAGGGCAGAGTAAAGGCGCAGACAACAAATTAACGAATTTGAGGGAATGGGTGGAAGAAGAGCGACATAGAAGGATAGGGTAACAAAAGACTTAGAGATAAAAATAGGAAGTTGTGAAGAGCCATGATCGCCCACGCCATAAATGATGATCCACTCTAATTTTCAAGGATTGCATTTTGGCTGATATTCTTCTTTTTCTACCAAATATTGTCGGAGATTCTGAGATGAAGGATTTTTATTATTCTCTTTTTTATTTTGACGTACAATCTTACCGTTGTTGTTTTGTTCTTTGCGCTACGGCTAATACGCTCCCCATCTTCCTAGGTATTACCTGGAGATCTGAGATAGAAGATCTTCATAATTCGTTGTATTAAGAACTTCTACGGAATGTATTGAATGAAAGCGAAAAGAAAGAACTAAACATCAATTGCAAGAAGGCATAATGCATGGTTCTTAGCAGAAGGAAGAGTTCAACATGGAGATTACAAATTGGTTTGGTTTGTTTTACGGCATATCAATCTCATTGGGTTATTTAATGCCGACAAGATTTTTATTGCTGGTATTTTTTTTTCAGAAATTTGTTGCTCGTAATATTTTTTCCCTTCAGAAATGTATTGCTGGTATTTTTTTCCAAAATGTATTCCTTTCTTTCTTTCTTTATTTCTTTCTTTCTTTGTGCCATATGCTTTCAAGACGTAGGCGATCATGGCTCTCCACCTCCCTCTATCCCTTGCAACTCTCAACAAGCTCCTTCCTTCTGCCACCTTCTCCAGACCATGTTCTGTCATCCACTTGCTTAAGCACGCTAGGTATGTCATGCGTTGTTTTCCCTTGTCTCTCTTTCCCTCTATTCAACCCGTGAGTATCAGATTCTCCAGACCCCCCTTCCTCATTATGTGTCGCAGGAACTTCAGCTGCCTTTTCCTGATGTTAAGTATAAGCCTCCTTCTTGTTTGCATCCTCTCTAAGACCTCATCGCTCGGTCCATGATATCCTTAGCATCCTTCTGTAGAACCGCATCTTCGTCACCTCAAGTCTCTTTGAGGAAATCGTCCAACATTCGCTGCCGTAAAGAAGGACAGATGTCATATAACAGCTCAGTATTCTTTTCTTCGTTACCAAAGAAATCCTCCTCTCTTGCAATACTCTGCCCAGCTTTTGGAATGCATCCTTGGCCATCCCCAATACGTCCATGGATCTCAGTGTCGCATTTACCGTCCTACCCAGGACAATAAATTACAAATTGGAGATACTGAAATCAAACAACTACAACAATTTAAATATATGGGAAGCGTTTTAACAGAGGAGGGAAAGATGCTTTCCCAAAGCTAAGCAATGTATTAAGAAACAGAAGAATATCGTTAGAAACAAAGAAAAGAGTACTGAACTGTTATGTTGCATTAGTCCCCCTATATCGCAGTGAATGTTGGACAATCTCCTCACGGACTTGAATCAATAGAAATGTGGTACTACAGATGTTGCGGATATCATGCACTGACAGAGTTTTAGAGAATAAGGAAATAAAAAGGGCACTTATACTTAACATCAGGAAGAGAGGGCTAAAGTTTCCGAGGGACATAATGAGGAAAGATGGCTTGGAAAATTTAATACTTACAAGACTGATTGAAGATAAGAGACAGCTGAAAGCAGCACATAACCTACCTGGCGTGCTTTAGTAAATTGATGGCGGAGAAAAGTTTAGGAGAAATGGCCAAATTACAAACGTTATTAAGATTTGCAAAGGGGAGGAAATTGTAGAGAGACATGATTGCCTGAGTCTTTTCATATTTCCCTCGGTTTATGCATATCGCTCTCGATCTGTTCGAATCTACCTCAGTTTATATATATATATATATATATATATATATATATATATATATATAGATAGATAGATAGATAGATAATATTAGTGGAAAATATACATACATATGCAAAATATATATATAAAAAAAAATACCCATACATCTATATTTTCAGAAAAAATTTTCCAAGAGGAAGAATCCAGGTAGAACTCAATGTCTAGGACAGGTGTGTGTATGTGTGTATATATATATACATGTGCAAGGGTGTGTATGTATTTGCATGTGTATATATATATATATATATATATATATATATATATATATATATATATATATATATATATATATGTATATGTATGTATATGTGTGTATGTGTATGTATATGTGTATGTATGGGTATATATATATATATATATATATATATATATATATATATATATATATGTATGTATGTGTATATGTATGTGTATGTATATGTATGTATGTATGTATGAATATATGCATGGGTCATGTGTATGCGTGTATATGTATGTGAAAAGTGTGTGTATATGAATATAGATGAATATGTGTATGTGTGATATGTGAATATATTTTTATATTTTTTAGGTTTTTTATATATATATATATATATATATATATATATATATGTATGTATATGTATGTGTGTGTACACGCATGTCTGTGTGTGTGTGTGAGTACATGCCTAAGTGTATGTACCTACTTGTATATGTTTTTGTGTGTATTATTATGTGTTTTTGAACATAGAAATATTTGGTCCTTGCTAAATTAGACAATCGTTATATTCATCTTCATATATTTATATTTGATTTCTAACCTATAGTCGATATTAATTTGTCAAATTTTCTCAATTACAAAGCGGCCCTCTAAGTAAACACAATTTTATTTTCCTTCGTCCCATCTCTCTCCCCCACCTCTTCTCTTTTTTTTTTCCCTACCTCCTAACTTCTAATTGTCTATGGTGTGTATATGTCACCACGAAATGTATCTTTATGCATTAGACATACATCGACTTTCTTTCTCTCCTCTTTTTAAATCCCCCCCCATCTCCTAAAATTCTCTCTGTTAAGGTTTCACCTCCCTCCTCCTCATACTTACACTTTCTCTAAATTCTGTTTTGATTTCCGGAGTTGTTTTTTCTGTTTTTATTTTGAAGGTCATTCAGTTCATGGATACCGATATTAGATTATTCATATCTACCCGAGATTTTATCACAAATGGAGAAAACACTGAGATGTAACTCACAGTAGCTCAAAAACCAAACTCGCCTTGTTTCATCATTGCCGATCATAGCAAGTTTTCTCCGCTCATGACGAAAAGTTAACTTTCAATGAGGTTCCTTGCTCTGAACGTCTATTGGGTCTCATTCCTGGCCTCAAAAGGAACTCATATATATGATTCATTGCTAAAAAAAAAAAAAAATGAAAAAAATGGTCGACTCATTCTTTCACTTTAGAGCGTAACTGATTCCTTCCTCGGGGGTTTAACATTAGAACAATCAGATTAGGGCAAAAATCGAGTATTGATGTCGTATCTTTCCAGGGTTGAGTTCAAAAATCGTTTACAATTTTCATCTTGTGGTGGTGGGGAAGAATTATATCCTACTTTGCGGCCTCTTTTCCTATCATCTCAACGTCGCAAGTCTATGGCTTAGTCCAATTCTTTAGTCCCAAACTTCCCTACATATTCCAAATATAGAATGAAAAATAGTCTTTCCCAAGAAATTGCTACAATGTGGAACAAAATCCCACGTGGATACTTCCTTAAACATGTCTTAACGTCTTCAATTCAAGATTCAATTGTTATCTTTCCTTTTAATCCACATAATTCTCTACAAATTCCTCTTTCACTTATATCCCATCTCATTCATAATGACCATTGGGACATATACTCACTACTTTCGAGCCTTTTATATATTTAATATATAAAAATTCAGTGTCTGTATCTGGGAGGAATACGTACAGTTTGGATTATGGAATTAACACGGCATAACTATCTATTTCATATCACCTCATATATTGAAGCAAATGTAACATCGACTAATGAACGCGTGGTATAAATATTAATCAGTGTAAATTAGTACACACCCGTATATTCATGATTGTAGACACGTTTATATAAGCAAAGCTGTATTTAATGCAAGGTGTGATGTTATTTCTAGCAGGAAATAAAAACAAATAATAATCACACGTTGTTCCCTGATTACAGAGAA